AGCCAGGCACTGCAGAGCCTGGCATCTCCTAGGAGCAAATCGCACTGCATGCAATGGGAGAGGCAGCAGAGCCCGGCTGCGCTGAGCCAGGCACTGCAGAGCCTGGCATCTCCTAGGAGCAAATCGCACTGCATGCAATGGGAGAGGCAGCAGAGCCCGGCTGCACTGAGCCAGGCACTGCAGAGCCTGGCATCTTCCAGGAGCAAATCGCACTGCATGCAATGGGAGAGGCAGCAGAGCCCGGCTGTGCTGAGCCAGGCACTGCAGAGCCTGGCATCTCCTAGGAGCAAATCGCAATGGGAGAGGCAGCAGAGCCCGGCTGTGCTGAGCCAGGCACTGCAGAGCCTGGCATCTCCTAGGAGCAAATCGCACTGCATGCAATGGGAGAGGCAGCAGAGCTCGGCTGTGCTGAGCCAGGCACTGCAGAGCCTGGCATCTCCTAGGAGCAAATCGCACTGCATGCAATGGGAGAGGCAGCAGAGCTCGGCTGTGCTGAGCCAGGCACTGCAGAGCCTGGCATCTCCTAGGAGCAAATCGCACTGCATGCAATGGGAGAGGCAGCAGAGCCCGGCTGCCCTGAGCCAGGCACTGCAGAGCCTGGCATGTTCCAGGAGCAAATCGCACTGCATGCAATGGGAGAGGCAGCAGAGCTCGGCTGCACTGAGCCAGGCACTGCAGAGCCTGGCATGTTCCAGGAGCAAATAGCACTGCATGCAATGGGAGAGGCAGCAGAGCTCGGCTTCGCTGAGCCAGGCACTGCAGAGCCCGGCATGTTCCAGGAGCAAATCGCACTGCATGCAATGGGAGAGGCAGCAGAGCTCGGCTGTGCTGAGCCAGGCACTGCAGAGCCTGGCATCTCCTAGGAGCAAATCGCACTGCATGCAATGGGAGAGGCAGCAGAGCCCGGCTGCCCTGAGCCAGGCACTGCAGAGCCTGGCATCTCCTAGGAGCAAATCGCACTGCATGCAATGGGAGAGGCAGCAGAGCCCGGCTGCCCTGAGCCAGGCACTGCAGAGCCTGGCATGTTCCAGGAGCAAATCGCACTGCATGCAATGGGAGAGGCAGCAGAGCCCGGCTGCACTGAGCCAGGCACTGCAGAGCTGGGGCCACCAACTGCCTGGCAATCCTCACTCTGCATGCAGCAAATCAACTGCTGCACGCTTCTCTGAGGATCCTGGCTCTTCGTGTGAAATGATCAGTGACAAAGGGCTGGTTTCACTTTGTTTTTTCAGTAGGAGATTGTTGTTTACTGTTTGTAGAGCTGCACTCTCAGAATAATTTAATTACTGCAAGGCTTAATGAAAAGCTGTTTCAATTTATACTCTGAAGTGCTCCCACACAAACTGGTATTGAAAATCTACATAATTGATATTTTCATCCAACGTATTTATTGTTAATTTTATAGAAAGACACCCAAGAACCATATAAGTAGGAACATCTAATAGATTATAGAACTATAATCTCCTTACTATAATCTATTAGATGTTCCTACTTATATGGTTCTTGGGTGTTTTTCTATTTTCATATGGAAGAGAGAGATTTGGCTCCCAAGATTTGGCTGAAAAGCTGCTGGAGAAAGGGTGAGAAAAGGCAGCACTGTAACCAGCCCAACAGCAACCACCTTTGGCTGGATATGAATAAAGTAGAAAATTAATGATTTGTTCAGGACAAAGCAACAAAAATTATAGTTTTCATTTCAGCAAAACAACTTCACTGCACTGTTAAGAGCTTCATATATAAGGTGTCCTGTTGTTGTAAGGTAATTTATGCAATTTAAATTCTCAATGCATGAAAAACCCAAACTAAACATTATATTTCCACTCCTCTGAACACTTTAGTGGCACAGGGAAATAATAAAGCCTTTCAGCTGGATGATAAAATATAAATAGTTTATGCATCATCATACACATAAGAGATGCCTTATTTGGCTTCTCTTTTAGGTTGCTCATGCTTGATTTGTTCAGGCACTTTCTTCATGGGCTCTGTATGCTGGACTGCTTTAGTATCTAACTTGACTTAAACTTTTTCCTAAGCAATGTTCTCTTATTAAAACAAACAAACAAACAAACAACAAAAACAAAAACAACAACAACAACAAAACTTATGGAGGAGTAAGAGGATAATTTGTAGCATAATCAAACCTTGCAGAAGGACAGTGCTTGGACTGTGGCTGGATAAAATGGCAAAGTTTGTTTACAGCAATCCTTGGCTTGAGGAGGGAGGGAGGAAGATTTGATACACAAAATTCTATAATAATAAAATGTGTATATGCATTTCTTCTTTTTCCCAGCCAGCATGCCACTCCTAATTCTTGCTGCTCATTCTTTTGAGGCTTAGAAGCATTAAGGACACAATTGAGGTGATGTGGTGGCATTCAAACATTTGATATTTTTGGAGAATCCCCAAGTGAAGCCTGGGAGCACAGGAATATTGCACACAGCAAATGGAATCACCACAAATAAGGAAAGGTTTTCCATGCTCCTTTCCAGCAGGCAGGGTGCAAACTCCTCTCAAAGATGGGCATGGAGCATCCCTGCCCTGAGGGAGCTGAGGGGGCTTTGCCTGTGTGACAGACCCACAGGGGAAAGGGAATGAAGCCATCCCCAGGCAGGATAAAGGTGCTGCCTGAAGCCCAGGGGCTTTCATTCTCCTCTGATCACTGCTTTTGTACAGGCAGGAACCCTCCAGATGGTGAAAGTGCAAGAGCTGATTGTGTGCCTGGACAAATGCGAGTCCAACACCTGGACATTCACCCTTCAAACACCTCACCCCAAACACAAACCACATCAGCCTGGCAAAGAATGCTGATCATTTGCAGTTTAGTTTGGAAAGTCTGCTCAGTTTTTGTTTCCCTTCTGCTCCAGTGCTGTAATGTTTCAGTTTCCCTGGTTGCTTTTCTGTTTCTTTCTTGCAGTTATTGTCTTCCTTTGCATGTGCTGCATTGTTTAACTCTGAAATCTGCCTTGCTTTCCTCCAGATCTGTGTTTATTTGCTCCATGACTACACTCCTTCACTGTTCTGCTCTTTTAAAAGGAGTTTAAAACTTTCTGAAAGGTCTTTGGCAAAACCTCCTCTTCATGAGGTGGTTTTCCCTCCTTTCCTGCTTTTTCAAGCTCCTCATTGTGTTTATATTTTATATTACAGTATTTAAAGATCCTTTTGCATATTCTGCTAAAATCTGTATTACCCTACCCTATTACATGGACATGCTGAGTCTAAAGTCATGTGAATATTTATTGTACACACAGCTTTGAGTGTATTTTTGGATTTTTTTCCTCCTGGGCTAAGTTTTGCAGTCAGATACATGGATATGACTCCTGTTCAAGTTGTATAAATACACTGGATCTGTGCATCATGGCACTTCTTCAGTTGAAATGTGACATTGAGAAGTTACTCTGTAAGAATTTGAAAAGAATGATTTAGATTTTAAATTTTGCCCTCAGTGGATACCACCTCAGTCTGGATTTGGTTTTCTGGTAGGTTTGAGCCCATGGCAATAGGAAAGAGGACAATTAGAGAGTAAGGTCTATTCTTAACAGCTGGAATCTCAGTGTGGTTTGTCTTGTAGAAGGTGCTATAAAAGCTTAAATATTTCCTTTAGCAATATCCTCTAAATTGAAGGCGTTGTTACACTGGAATCAGTGGTAACTTTCAGAACAGGTGGGAATCACAGAATTTTGGAGACATGGAAATTCTGTTTCAGCCCTCCAGAGCTCTTGGTTGCCATCCCCATTCCAATCCCCTATTCCTTGGCAACCACACCTCTTCCTAGGGGGCACCAGGACCTAAGAACTCTCTTGAATTTTGGGATTTTTTCATATTTAGTGCTCAGGAGAGGCAAACCCAACAGTGCTGCTTTTTCCTTGTCCTTGCTATGCCTCTCTGAGATTAATTGACTTTAGCTGAACTCAGGTTTTGGTTTCTATCAGAACTTTCTTCCGTAGAGAAATCCAAAATAAGAGAATTTTGCTGGAGGCTCTTTTTTAGAGTAACGCTTATTTAATTAACAATTAATGTAACTTACATGACTGTAAATGCAAACGTGAAATGCTCTTTGAAAACCCTTCTAGGAGAAATGTTTTCCTTTGCAACGGCTACCCTTAGAAGCTGGATTTTGGGGTGGTAATTTGTTTACTATTTTGATGTACCGTTCTGTATGTTTTCAAAGCTAAGTGAGTTAAGAGCGAGCAGAGCCCTTTGGTATCCCCGCTTTTCCATGGAGGCTGTGCGGAGTCACACAGGGACTGCTGCCTGACAGCTGGTCCCTGTCTCCTCCAGGAACAGAGCTTGCACGCTAGTTCTTTTTATTTATTTTTTTATTTCTCCCCAGATACCTTTCCCAGCAGCTCACACCCCACCCCTGAGCACGTACCGCCCCATGGGAATCGCTGCCTGCTCCGTGCAGAGCCGGGCTCTGCTGAGCGCAGGTAGGAGCGGGCTGGCTGAGCCCAGGTAAGGGAGCGCTGCCCGGCCACAGCTCGGGACCCCGCTCTGCTGCACCGGACCCGCACACCGGGGCTGCTTCATTGACTAATGAATTGTCAAATTACAAATTAATTGTCAAACTACCGAGGGCTCGGCCGAGGCAGGGCTAGTGCGGGCGGGCTCGGCAGCTGAGGGCGGGGGTGCCTGTAAGGCGGTCAGCGCTGCGCTGCCCTAAGGGGAGCCGGCTCTGCCGCCCACCGGCGCGGCGGCAGCGCTCATGCCGCTCTCCCAGGCCGGGTGCCGGGCAGGGCTGAAGGCGCGGCGGCGGCGGGATCCCCTCGGGATCGCCTCCTTCCTTCATTCCTTCTTTCCCTCCCTCCTCCCGCCGCCAAACCGGCGGCGCCTCAGCCGCTCCCAAATGGCGGCGGGGCGGAGCGGCCGATCCAGGGCTCGGCGCTCCCGCGCCAGGCGGGGAGGCGGGAGCGGCCGGGCAGGCGGGCGCAGGGACGGCGTCGAGCGCCGAGCGGGCGATGGGCGGGGATAAATGTCTGCCTGGGCGCGGGGCCGCCATTTTCTCTGAGGCGCGGAACGAGCGGCGCCGGGCGGCACCGGGGCGCGGGGGACCCGCCAGGGGCCCGGGACACAGGTACGGGTGGCCGGGGAGCGCCAAGGGCGAGCGGGAGAACTGTTCCCCGTATTTCCTCTCTTTGCGGCGCTGCGTTCCGCGCTGGCGCCGCTCCGGGCTCGGCCCCGGGCGCGCTGACCCGGCCGCCGCCTCGGCCGCTCGGCCCCGGCGGACACTGGGGAGGAGGAGGAGAACCGGGCGGCTTCGGGCCCGCGAGCTTCGCGGCCGGATTGCCCGGGCCCGGCCGAGGGGATCGGTGCCGAGAGAGCCGGGGCGGGGCGAGGGTGCCCGAGGGTCGGGGGGAGCGGGGCTGGGTCGTGGCCGTCGCCTGTCAGCGCCAGCGCGGAGCCGCGAGGGTGGGCCTGCAGCGCCCGGGGGAGCATCCCGCATTGCTGGGGCCGTGCCCTGTGCGGGTACAGTGAACAGCGGGCATCCCGCATTGCTGGGGCCGTGCCCTGTGCAGGAGGGTGAACAGCGGGCATCCCGCATTGCTGGGGCCGTGCCCTGTGCAGGAGGGTGAACAGCGAGCATCCCGCATTGCTGGGGCCGTGCCCTGTGCAGGGACAGTGAACAGCGGGCATCCCGCATTGCTGGGGCCGTGCCCTGTGCAGGAGAGTGCGAGTGAGCATCCCGCATAGGATGAGCATCCCGCACAGCTGGAGCCGTGCCCTGTGCAGGGAGGATGAGGAGGATGAGCATCCCGCACAGCTGGAGCCGTGCCCTGTGCAGGGAGGATGAGGAGGATGAGGATGAGCATCCCGCACAGCTGGAGCCGTGCCCTGCCCACAGCCGGGGCTGGGCTGTCCCGCTCTCCCCGGGTCCCCGCTGTGATGCTGTGGCTTTGTCCCTCCTGTGCTTCCAGCAAGGCTGCCTGACCCTCCTGTTAGTTCATCTATAGTCTGCTGAACTGGGAGTAGAAAACGCCTTTAGGTGTATCAGCACAACTGAATTCTTTCTACTTGGGCACTCTTTGGTCTGAATTGCTCGCTTGATTATTTTTTGCAAGTTAAAATCCCTTGGACATTTGCAGTCAGGGGTAAGATTGAGTCCTTATCAGCTGCTCAGCCCTGCCTGTACCAGTGGTGCTCTGCAGGAGCAGCCCCAGCCCTGTCCTGTTTCTGCCTCTCTTTCTCTGCAGCCTGCCTGTCCCACTCACCTGTGACAGCCCAAATGACTCGTGCAGAATTGCTTTCCTTCTTAGCCTTGGAGTGACATGCAGAGGTGCAGGGACTGCAGAACCAGCTGCAGTGGGATTCTGCAGCACGGTTTGTGTTCCAGCTGCAGCTTGTAGGTGTGCAGAAGCAGAAGGATCTGCAGTGGTGTAAAACTCAGAGTATTTCCTAAACTGAAGCCAGCTTAAAATACCTGGAGATGTTTTTCATTTTAATCCTTCAGAAAAGCTCAGCTGCAGCTATTGCCTGAAGGATCACTGCATTGTGCCAAACTGGAATGAGCATGCTTATTCTTCAGGATGTGTCTGCAGTGTTGGTGCAGAAGCAGAGATTGAGTTGATGAATGTGAGAGTTAATTCCAGGCAATTCTCTTAAATCTCTTCTGGGGACACCCACTCAGAATGGAAGTGGCTTTAGTTTGGTTTGTCTTAATGAGAATTTTCTGCAGGCAAACCTTGAGGCTGCAATTAATCATGAAAGATGTAGGGATCTCTGTGTGTGCTCATGAAATGAATATGGTGACTGATTAATGTAGTAAGCAATTTAATCTTAGATTATTAAATCAGAAGTGAAGTAGCATTGTTGGGTTGGGGCAGTGATGCTTTCAGAGTCCTGGAATATGTTTTTCATATGGTTTGTTGCTATTCTTAATATTTTCAGGACTGGACAACATTGTGCAACATTGCAGATAAACCTGCTTTGAAGGAAAAGCTGAAAATGGCAGGAAAAAAGCCTATTTTTTTTTTCAAAGAAGATCTAAACCTTATTTTTTTCAGTTTAATTCCTTTTCCATTTTTTATTCTTAACCAACAGTGCATTCTGTTCAAATGACGTATGAAGTCACTGCTGTCTCAGGGCTGGCCTTACTCTATCTTATTAAAAGAGCTCATTTTCTGAACCACAACCATGACCCACGGAAATCATTGCTCAGCACTTCTTGGTACGCTACATCAGCAGTAATTTCTTCTGGGACATCTCCTCCCCTCCTCCCTCCAGATTATTTATGTGCCTTTTTGTGCTGTTGGAAAAGCAGGAGTTGAGAAGAAAATCACGTTTTCCTTGTTGGAAAAACATTAAATTCAGAGCTGTTGGTTTCCAAGCTCCTGTAGGAGATGGGAAGCAAAAGCTGTTAGGTGGAATTATTTTCTATCAAAGAGCCTTCAGTCAAGATTCAGTGCAGGAGTTGAATTGATGTTTAAATGGTTTTTATTTTGCTCATTAAGTTGGTAGAGCAGTGAACTCGGGCAGTTGAGTGCAGGCTGGTGTTTGGGTCTCTGCTCACAGCCCAGTTCATTTGTGCTGCCAGAGTGGGTCCCTTTGCCACGCCTGTGTCACACCTGCAGCTCCCCTCTGCTGTGCTCTCCTTCAACACCCCGAGCTTCTGCTCCTCCCCTTCCCGTGCTGGCTCTGCTCCTGCCTCCCGGGGCTGCCCCTGGCCGGAGGGACAGACGGACACACGGAGGGAGGGAGGGATTTCTGTGGCTTTGGGCTCCTCCTGGGGATGTGCTCCTGCTGGGATGCCCTGGCTGATGGAGATCAGGGAATTCCCCCACGCCTCGGCTTCCTATTTCTATATCCTGTAGGAATGTCCTGTTCTTTGTGCCTCTGCCTAACTTTAAAAATGGGAAATACCCAGGAATTGCTGCAGGAGAGGCAGGACAATTGGTGCCACCAGTTAATGGGATTTGTGCAGCTGCATTTCCAAAACTTTCATGGCAGTTCAGGAAACAAATGAGTGTTTGGCCTCTGTGTGCAAATGGGTGGTTGAGCAGGATGATTGTGCTGTAAAAAATCTTCTAAATTAGAAACACAGAAATCTAAAGAGTGTGCAATGAAAAATAGTATTTAGAGTTCTGTTTATAATAAAATCATTAAATTGCATAAGTTAGTGATCTTTATTTGGGGAAGCAACAAAAGTCATCAAAACAAGATGAAAACTTGAGATTTACCAAGCACTGTGATTGAAGCATGATTTCAGTAAGTTTCACATAAGTTTAATTTGTAAGCAGACATGTTTACATCTGCATTGTACCGGTTCTGATTGATTTTGTGTAATTGCTTTGCAAAACCCTTTGGTGTTTTCTGGTATGAAATATATCCACTATATTGAATAAGGTTGTGGAAACATTTGTTCAGCTTTACAAATTAATTGAAAGAGGAGTTGATGTAACAGTAGAGACTTGGCTAAGAATTCTGAATTTATGACAAATTACCAAGGTATTTTAGCCATGAGCATGCATTAGCTCATGGCTTTTGAGACAGCATGAAGCAGATGCAATTTATTCTGTATGGGTAACCCATGTTTAGTGATGTTCTTATTTTTTTCTGAAGAGAAAGTCTCTTTTGGCCCAAGTTCTGTGAAAAATTCTCCGAGCTCTGCTGGCTCTTGCTGTGTGTGCTGTTTTTTTGTAAACAACGCTTTTGCTTTGAAAAGCAGCTGGCTCACGTTTATTCCTTTAGTGACTTGAATATTGTGTTTGTACTATAAATGTCATCTGTTTTACACAAAGTTGATTTTATTGCAGCACTGTGTACTGACCTTTTACAGTTTAATAGAATATGGTCATTTGTGTACTGAAATGCTGCAGTGCACACAGCAGATGAGGGTAAACAAAGTGCTGGTCTGGAGTCATTTGTAAATGAGAAAGGCATTTTCAGAGCTAGGAATTAGAGCTGATCATTAATAAATAGCATGTTTATAAGTATCCTATTGTCAGGCTTTGAAGTGATGTAGTCCATGTGATTGAAATGAGAGATTTTAGCAGCAGAGCCCTGGGTTTGTGTGGCACAGCAGGGTGGCCATTGCGGGGTTTGTGTGCAGGTGTCATTTCTCTGTGCTGCTCCTGGAGGCAGCAAGGGAGCAGAGCACGGTTAAATCAGAGCTCTTCACTTGAGGCAGAATCGCCTTCAAATCCCGAGTGCAGGTGGTGAGCGTGACACCCGTGCCGTGTTTGCCTCAGGAGCTGTGCAGTGGGACCTTGTCTCCAGCTCCGCCCTCTGAGCCTCTCCCTCTGTGTGTGCTGTGCCTGGATCAGTGGGCGCTGCAGTTTTTGATTCATCTCAGGTTCGGCTCAGTTTGTACCTGCCGTGCTTTCCCCTCCTGTGTGGCTCTCAGCCTCTCCCTCTGTGTGTGCTGTGCCTGGATCAGCGGGCGCTGCAGTTTTCCCTCTCAGGTTCAGCTCGGTTTGTACCTGCCGTGGTTTCCCTCACAGCTGTGGGCTCTCAGCCTCTCCCTCTGTGCCTGGATCACCGGGCACTGCAGTTTTTTCCCTTTTAGGTTTAGCTCAGTTTGTACCTGCCGTGGTTTCCCCTCACAGCTGTGGGCTCTCAGCCTGTGCGCTGCAGTTTTCCCTTTTAGGGTTAGCTCAGTTTGTACCTGCTGTGCTTTCCCTCACAGCTGTGGGCTCTCAGCCTCTCCCTCTGTGCCTGGATCACCGGGCACTGCAGTTTTTTCCCTTTTAGGTTTAGCTCAGTTTGTACCTGCCGTGGTTTCCCCTCACAGCTGTGGGCTCTCAGCCTGTGCGCTGCAGTTTTCCCTTTTAGGGTTAGCTCAGTTTGTACCTGCTGTGCTTTCCCTCACAGCTGTGGGCTCTCAGCCTCTCCCTCTGTGCTGTGCCTGGGTCACCGGGTGCTGCAGTTTTCCCTTTTAGGTTTAGTTCAGTTTGTACCTGCCATGATTTCCCTCACGGCTGTGGGCTCTCAGCCTCTCCCTCTGTGCTGTGCCTGGGTCACCGGGCGGTGCAGTTTTCCCTCTCAGGTTCAGCTCGGTTTGTATCTGCCATGATTTCCCTCACGGCTGTGGGCTCTCAGCCCGTGTTGTGCCTGTGCCTGCATCACTGGGTGCTGCAG